ACAACAGAAGGTCATTAATATCATGAGCTACACTTGCACATGGGGTCGTCCAAAGTGGTTAACATGGTCACTAATATACATACAAATTTTGCCTGTGGAGAGGAATAACAAGGGTTAGTACATCATCACAAACAAACAAAATTTGTATGATGCTGGACCATGTTCTCTGCATTGATGCTGCAAAATGTTTCACATTGTGTTTAAGTCCACTGCTCCTGCCATTCACTGCTCTACTGATTTCCATTTATACTTTACAATACATTTTGACAGCCTTTGTTTTGACACGTTTTCTGCTAAAATGCAGCGTGCTGTCTGGTCTACAGTGACATATTTTACTTTTGGTTTTAATTTGTGTTTTTCCATATTTATCAGCTTGCATTGGTACATGTAATAGAGAACAGATATCATTGAATTTCTGTGTACAAGTTTTTCTTCTTTTGTTTGGGTCATACTTTTGCTTTTAGGTGTACTTGTTATTCTGTCTTTTTTGTATTTAAATATTAAAAAATTCTAAAATGTTTAAGCATTGTGATAACTGAGAGAATCAGTTTGAAAGAATTTGGGAATTTCCATATTTTAGTGATGGTCATTTTTAACAGCAAGCATGTCACACAACTGGCTTTTAGTTTTAACATGTTCAAGTTTCTATTGCCCATTAAAAAATACACATCAGAATTCAAAATAATGCTTATTTGATATATCTCATAAGTAATTTAATCCATAATATCCACCTAGACAGCAAATCCAACACCTTTGCTGCTGTTGGGTGGAAATGCCATGTCAGCTTTAGTAATTCAAGCTGGGCATAATATGGAGGCCCTGAGAGGAAAGTGAGAAAAAAAATTCTGGCAATAGATTTTCCAAGTCTGATCTAAATTGTTTTCTCTCCTGTGTGTATGACTTAAGAACAGGTGAAAAAACCTTTTTCCCATTCGAATTTTCTTAATGTTTTCTGTGAAACATGGGGAAAGTTTTGGCAGGTAGTTACTTACAAGTAACTTTTTTTTTCACCTGTGAAAACAAGTGGAAAGTGGCAGGTGAATTTTTTTTGTCAGGTAATTGTTTTAATACTCACAAGAGGCTGAAGTGCACCCCATGTTCTATATAGGACTTATTCATTTTCTTGCCCTCTAAACCCAAGGTACATATATTGTGTTAGCAAGTTATGTAACAAGTGTATTTTAATTGAAATCAAAACTCGCCTTGAAGAAAATATGAATACTTTAGTCCTGTTTATAAAATGGAGTAGTGGTGCACTTCAGACTCTTGTGGCTGAGATGAGTATTACAACAACAAAAAATGTTGTTTTCACCTGGCAAACTTTTTCCCCCACTGATTTTCACGGATGGAAATTTTTCATTTTCATAATTTGTTCTTAAGTTATAAACACATTAGGAAAACTGTTTGGATCTGACTTAGAAAATAGATCCCCAGGATGTTTTCACTTGCCTCTTAGGGCTTCTGTAGGATAAAGACAAACTGTATATTACCTGTAAAAACCTTCCTGCTACAGTAAATCCAAAAACTCTCTCTCTCTGACAGACGTAAAACAGTACAAAATATTAAATATAAAACAGTAAGGGACACAGACAGACAAACTTGCCTATAATACATTATAATACAGACACAGGAAACCATTATATTTTTTTCTATTAAGGCCCTACTCACCATGCAACCAGACTTAAAGCTCAAGAATATTTATTCTATATTCTTATTCTAAAATGACACTGAGCTATTCTATGATATTTCACAAGAAAATATGCTGCTGACCGCCAGTAGGTTTCTCCCTCTAGGAGGTCATTCCCAAATTTTTTTAAAGAGTATGTGAAAGGTTGTGGTGTAAATGGGTTTAAAGTTGTGCTTTGTAGCCTGAGATTCATGGGGATTTGTGAAGAAAGACAAAGACAGGGCCCCAGTCATCCAATCATGTGTTTACACAGAAATTCACGACATTCTAACCCTAACATCACTTTGACGTTGACAGTGGCATGCTTTGATTTGAAATTTCCTTTGTTGTATCATTTTGAGAGTCAATGCTATTTCTTGTTTTTATTTTTGTGTTTTCTACATGTTTCTTTTATCGAGATATCATTCCCGTCTATTCGCCAATTATCCAAAAACACATTCTTGTATTTTGGCCTCATCATGAGTGGCATGACGTTTTGGTGGGTGATCATTGTTTCCACATATGTTCTGGGGTACCATGCGGCTTCGTAACATGTGGCTTTTAATGAAAACATCCCTATTTCTGTTTTTACAGCAAATAAGGCAAAAAAAATATTTTCTTGCCATCAAATTTTATGTTGTGAAGGCAGAGAGTTCCAAATGTAACTGCAGTTGTAAATAAAACCGCTGCACCCTCCTAATTCTTCAGTTCATCAGTCTTCCAATCCCTTTCCTTCATATACTGCTCGCTAATTCTGTGGTCCATTTGAACACATTTCGGTGTAGATGGCATGAAAACATTTCTTTTGCCACAAATTCTTGTATTTTACACTTTGATTTTTCTCTTAAGCAATCATTGATTTAGCAAACTCTTCAAATCATTCTCTTCAGGGTGACCTCTGATCATTTCTTTGCATGCTTTTTGATTGGTCCTTGACTCCATGCCCCCGTATTTAGTCTAACTTGGTTGCTTTGTCTGCATTCGTGTTTTAAGTTGGAAACCATTTTTGCGATTGCAGCATCATTGAATGTCGTCTATCTTACCCCACACTGTCTTTATTTTGTCAGTGTGGCTGTTGTCTGGTTTGTCTGGAGAAGTTATCAAGTGATTCTGTTCTCTGTTGTAAATCTGTCGTGCTCTCCTTTCCTTTCAATTCATTTCATAAGATGGCCATTAAAAAGGGTTCTTAAATTGTGTAATACTGTAAACTGTTTGATATTTAATTAGCAAGTAAACAGGTTCCATAGTTTTTCTTGAAGACCATAGTCTGATTTATACAATATGATATTGGTGCTAAAAAATCCCATGGCTAATGATTAGTAATACGCCCACATTTTGAAGACTTGAAGTACTTTAATTTTATAATATCTATAATATAATATCAGTCATGCATAATTCAATTCAATTCAATTCAAAATAAGTATACTAGTTCAATAAAAAAGATAAATGCAAGTTCAATAAACCACATTTTATAAACAATATTCCTATGTTCAATACAGTCATTAACTGTTTAAACCACTGGAAAAGAGTTTGATCACTGCCTCCCTGCCACAGAGAATGACAAAGGTCAAAGTGCAACTTATTAAAGAGACGCAGTTCAATGCAGCTTCAATACATGGAATGAAGCAGTGTTTTTGGTAATAAATCAGACACTGCTGGTGCAGTGCTGTATTGTAACTCTTTATAGAGGCTTTTTTTCCTACAAAAATGTTTTGTGCCGTTCAGGGGAAAACTGCAATCATAAATATTACAACCATCTAATAAGAGTTAAACTACTGTTCTAAAAGAAAAAAATATTTTTATTTTATAAATACAATCATTTTGCAGTGTAAAGTGTACCCTAAAGACATTGATTCTAAGTGTCAGACAACATTATACAGCCGTAATATTGTTCTCACACTCCATAGACAAAAATGCCATGTCATCGTAACTTCATCCAAAGTGGACAGAAACCAAATAAAACTCACCAAAACCATCTTTGTTATCCTTTCCACTGTTCCAACAGTCACAAACTCTGGTTTGGTGGAAATAAATACAAACAGCAGTTTCAGTGGCTCTACTCAGCTGCACACAGAGCAGACTTTGGTATTTTGTTTTTACAGTACAAACAGAAAATTAAGTCAGTGTCACTTTAAAATTACTAAAAGCTAAAACAATGTTTAAAAAAATATTAACAATGAATGGTTCTCAACAATATAATAACAAGTTATTTTATTAAATATATGGCTATGTTTTAGTTAGAAAATATGGGACACTGTTAAGGAAACCTTTGGAGGAGTCAAAGAGTTTTCATTAAATAGTTTTTACACACAGTGTTAAAACACCACCTTTATGCTTGTGGTTTCACAGAACTTGTGTTTTTCACAAATTCAGTGAACAATGTTTTAAATCACAATTGGTAAAGAGACTCAGCAGAACAAAAAACAGATCATATATGGCATCTGTAACCAATCACACAAACATAAATCACTCATTGTCTAAAGCAAGCCATATGTTTATAAAATAGTTTTTCCTGATGTGTAGCAACCACTGGTCTCCGTTAGTTTTAACTTTAGCATAGACTAGTCAGACATGTGCCATCTTATGGAATTCCTCTCCGGTTGTATTCTTCCCTACATGGAAGAACCATGTGGGTTGCATTAGGCAAAATATGGAATTATATGTCAAAGGACACTGTAGGGGTTAAAGCTGGTATCTGTGATATTTTTCATTATGTTTTTTTGTGTTCTCCTCATCTAAGTGCTTTTTACTTTACTACCATAGGACACAATGTTGGCGCCTGTTTTGGCACATGTGTAGAACTTTTACCCTGGCGAGGTAAAAAATACTGGCATCTAGTTGGCTGTTGTGTCAGATAACTGTCACAGTGCTAACGACTGAGCCGTTTACATGTTAATTGTATTTTCATCCATCAAATTCAGCAGTATCTAATCTGATTGCAAGTTTTGCTTTGCACGTTGTGACAGCCTGCACAATGTTATGGATATCAGCTTCAATCTCGTCCTTTGACCTTTTCTCATAATTGAATCCTGAATAAATTGCATTTCACATATAGTACATGACAAAATATTATTAATATATGTTCTGTGTTTTGATTTCTTTCCTCTTCCCCTCTGCTATTAGTTAAATTAAG